GATTAAAAAATGTACCACAAGAGTTCCAACGCAAAATGGATACTATATTCAATAAACATTCAATATTTTGTTGTGTTTACATAAATGATATTCTAGTCTTCAGTCAAATTAAAGAAGAGCATAGAAAACATCTTGAAATTATATTAAACAAATTTATAACATAAGAACTCATTATAAGTAGTAAAAAGTCGAATTACAACCACATATTATGCAGAAGAATTTAGATTATCCGGATAAATTAGAAGAAACTAAGTTAGTGCAAGCATTTTTAGGATTATTAAATTATGGTCGCAATTTTATTCCAAAATTTGGACAATTAGTAGGACCATTGTACTCAAAATTAGGTAAAAATGGTCAAAAATGTTTTAATATTCAAGACATAGAATTAGTTAAGAAAATTAAAGCTTTAGTCACTTAGTTAGAACCCTTACAACTCCCACTTGAAAATAGTTATAAAATAATTCAAACAGATGCATCAGTTCAAGGATGGGCAGGTTTACTTCTTCAAAAACCCACAAAAAAATCCTTTCGGGACGAAGAATAAATTTGTCGCCATGCTAGTGGAACCTTTAATGAAGCACAATCTACTTTACCTTCAACAGATTTAGAATATTTAGGAATAACCAACTCTATTGAAAAATTTCAGATATTCCTTGATAAAGAATTTTTTATAAGAACAGATTGTGATAACATAGTCATATTTGCAAACAAAGCAAAGCAACAGCGAATGTCTACAAAAAGATGGATTTCCTTTATTAACTGTATTACTGGATGAGGGTTTAAACCTATATTTGAACATGTTAAAGGAAAATAAAATTATTTAGCAGATATTCTATCTCGATTACTAATTGATTGTTAAACTTTGCAGGAATGAAAACAAAGAGCAGCAACAACTATAGCCTTATACCAGACACTTCTAATCTTTTTTTGATTATCCAAAACCCAGCTCAACAGTTCAGTGCTAGACATAATATTTTTCTTGACCAAAAACTTATTTTAGATAATATTTGGTTTTCGAGAAATAATTCCGATAGAACCTTCGTTAGAAATTTAAATACTTTAAGTGAATATTTTGTAACATCTAACAAAGCATATCATACTCTACAGCAAGAACATGAGACACTTATATCTCATTTTAAAAAGTTGAATTTAATTTATCAAAAAACAACAATAAATCCCACAGAACTAACTATTTCTGAGCAAAGGACTAATGAAGATGAAAATCTTTAGAAAGTTCAATTTCTGCAGGTACAAACCAGGTATGTTAAGTTACTACCCATTTTCTCTCCAATTTACAGAGAAATCGTAAGATAACAAATTGAGCTCTTCCCTAAGGATATCAAAGAACTTATTCTTGAAGAAGTTAAGTTTGATGGTTTCAAAGAATGTGTTGATATCCAAAATTACCTCAGAAACAATAGTCCACTCAAAGGAACCAGATATCATTATTTTTCTTACGATTTATACAAACTGGCAACTACATACCTACCATAATCTTATTAGAAGTAGATATTGTTTTCTTCTATCCTTTTGAAATAACCAGAAAAACCTGTTTCTCTACAAGAACTACCACCTGTTACTTAAGTAAGCTCTTAGAATTAAGAATGGTCAGCAGCATTTCCATACCAAAAGAAATGCCACTAGAATATCTAAACTCCTTAGATAACTTTCCCAGTTGATTAAACCAAGCCATTGTTTTCGAGCAAAAACAAACCCATAATTTCATGCCAGAAAGTCCAATTCTCCTTCAAATCCATAGTACTCCTCCAGAATGGGTAAAAGATGGAGCTATAATTCTGGGACAACATCAAATTTACATTCATTCTGATCCCACAGAAGTTCGAGTTCTTACCCGACATATTAATTTTGTAAATAACTTTCGTAATGATATAGATACAGCTACCTTTAACCATTTGGTTTATTATAAAGCCTATCGTCAGGTTAACCCAAGTTATAACCCTGGTTTCAAACTCTACGACCATAATATAAATATGAAAATTTTCATCAAAGCCAGAATTCCCTATGTCATCAGATCTCCTCCAGAGATTGAGATATCTCCAGAAGTTGAAGAAATAATAAATGAAGAAAAAATGTTACTTGAACAATTCGATCTTGCCTACAGAAATGAAGAAACCAATTCACCAGACAACCCTGATGCATATTTGGCCCACATGCACATGCACAGAGATGACAACACACCAGATAACACTACTGACAGAAATTTGTCTAATATGCAAGATTTCTGAGAGTATCTAAGAAAAAGCAGATTCGCCACACTGTATAGATAAAAAGTAGATCCACCGAAAACTGATCCTCAATAGTAAAAGTTGATACGACTCTCCAAAAGCAGACATCAATAATTCAGCAATAATTCAAACCATCTTATTTTTAAAGTATCTTGCATCTCAACCGTCTATTCAGCATCTGCAATCTCAACTGAAGATTCATCTCCCACTTTCCCTATAAAAGGAGCCTCTCTGCTCAAGCAAAAATCATCGAGTTCTAGAGCAATCAAGTTAAGAGCCATCAAGCATTCCAGCCTTTAGCTATAGTTTCCTAATGTGCTTTCTTTATTTCAGAGTGTTCTCTTTCTGTAAAATACTGTGTAAGAGTGTATCCATGTATAAATAGTGTATATCCATGTATATATTTCTTATGAAATAAATCTTCCAATTTGCTCTTATTCAAAACTTCCTTATACCTATTTAGTATTCTAAGTACTTTTAGGCAAAAGATTTCGGTCAACAAAAAGATCAAATGTATAGATTTTATTTAACCAGACAGTGTAGATCTTAGAATTTTCTTGAATCCAACCAGTATAAACAGCTTTAGTTTTAATTTAACAATTTCTTCTGTGAGTTGACTCAAACTGTTGGCTTGTTGGCTCGTTCTTGCCGGTGTTCAGGCGTTTTTACAAGGCGTTATCAGAACGTTATCAGGTTCGGCAATCATTTTTGTGATTTAATTGTTAATTTTATCTCTATGTTATTTGCATGCTTCTATCCAGTTAGATTGAACTTAATTTTGATATCAGAGCCTATACTGTTTCGTTAAATTTAATTTATATATAATATCTTTTGTCTAAAGAAGTCTCTAAGTCCATGTTAATCTACTGAAAACGATTAATTTATAGTGAAAAAATTAAAAATATTTCATATTAAATAGGTTGTTCAAGAATCTTTTGTAAGTTTATTTCAAACTCTAATGCTCTGTTCGATAGGAAGGAAGAAAGAGGGGTGGAAAGAAAATAGGAGGGAAGGAACAAAATTCCTTCGTTCGGTAGGAAGGAGACACGGAGGGAAATGATAATAGGAGGGATGTCTTATCCCTCTCTCTTAAGAAAATAAGTGGAGCTCTTATAATTTCATTAATGTACAATATTATCCTATCCAAATATTAAAAATTAAACCTTACACATCTCATCTCACGAAAAAAAAAAAAAAAACCTATCAAGATATGATTCATGTGTTATATATGTATATATATATATATATATATATAAAAGATCCAGATCTCGACCAAACAAGGATACAAGGATTACATATATATATATATGTGTGTGTGTGTGTGTAAGATAAAGGAGAAGGTTTAGGGCAAGATAAAGGAGAAAGTATATATATTTATATGGATTGTTTGTTATATAATTTCCTTATTAGTAAAAAGAGATTCAGAAGAAAAAATACATAGTCTACATAAAGAAAAAATACACAGCCTACATGATAAAATTTATATATATATATATATATATATATATATATATATAATTAAAACAAACAATAAATTAGATTGAAATTAATGAGTAGTAAAGATGATGGCTATTTACCAGGAAAAAAAATGAAGGTATAATGATAAAAATAATTTTAAATTCTCTCTTTCTTTCTCTCGCAACGAACAAAGGAATTTGGTAGGTTATTCTCTTCTCTTCCATCCAACCGAACAAAACAAGGGAAGTCCATAATCTCTTTCCTATAGATGTCTCATCTTTCCCTTCTTCTCTCTCTTCCATCCAATTTACTTCCTTCCTAACGAACGGAACATAAGGTTAATATAAAATAAAAGTTGTTTTGGGTCTCTAATGATAATATAGTTTGTTGCGTGGTATAAAATATAAAGTAGAGTTCATTTTAGAGAAATATTTTGGTGGTCCATCCAATTATTAAAAATTCATGACCTTGACCTCATAAGCATGTAGTATACACCCACTAAGTCCATGTATTGATAATTTACCTTAAATTAAAATCACCCACCAAGTGGATTATATGAGATAAGATTGCCACGTCATGAATTTGGATAGCAAGATTCCCCAATAATTATAATTAAAGCAGTGACTAAGCAAATCTTGGCAAAATGGTGAGATCACTTCATTGTAGCATGGAGGTTAGGAATTCCGCGTGCGAGGCAAAATTGTGTAAATCCGCGTCACACAAATTTATGAAATGGAGAGTGAAGATGAACATCAACGGATTAAATGGTGGATATTGCTTTAATATATCTTAAATACGGATAAACCCTGCAAAGAAGAGAGATTTCATTTTCCTTTTAATAGTTCTCATTTAAAATTTTTGTATTTCTGGTTTCATTAAGATTAAAACAATAAAAATTAAAAGAAGGTTGTTTTTAAACCATCTGCATTTTGAAATGGATTCAAAATCATCACCACCAAAGTTTTGGGGTCCTATTGAAAAAAACTTTAATACAATGTGACACCAATGACATGGTATTATGAAAAAACTAATTATGTGGTGGGTCATTTAAATAGGTACAATTTTTCTTACATGATAAGATATACATATTTACCTATTTAATAAAAAAAGGTTTGGGATTATGAAAAAAGAAGAAGTTTAAAACTAAAAAATGATTCATTTTATAAAATTTTGTTCTTTAATTTTTATTTTCATCAAAAATGCCTTGGAAAATATCATTTTCAATTCTTTAAAAAAGTTTTTATAAACAAAAAAAAAATTGCAAAAGCGGTAGAAAATGGACCTCAGACAAAGCTATTACGAAGGTATGGTCTCACGAGAGAGGGAAGAGAGAGAAAGGTGGGCAAAGAACTCTAAACAAAATTCAACCTTAAAAATTCGGTCAAACCCAAAAGTAACGGTCATGTGTAGGAAGGTAGTTGATGAAGTCTCTCTCTTTCTCTCTCTTATTGAACAAAGAAACCCCATATTTGAGCGCGAAATGTGGGTTCAATATCACAAAATACAGTTTCTAAACTTCAGGGGAGAGAAGCAACTTCCTCGCTTTGCCAACACTCCTCCATCAGGAGAGAGAATGAACCAAGATTCAAGAAAATAAGCAGAGAGAGAAAAAAGAGAATCGAACAACAACGGTAACAAAAAATGGCACAAGCACAACCCCAGAGAGAGTTTCAAGAAACACCTGAAATGGAGATGAAGAACAGCATTAATGAGAGCGCCACTAGTAGTTTCAAATTCAATGCCCAGGCACCAGAATTCGTGCCCAGATCACAGGCCCAAGCGCCCGTTTCCGGCTATTTCTATCCCTGCTTCCACTTTCTCGGTGGGAGTGGTGGGTCTGATTGGATTTATGTTGGGGATCAAGAACCAATCCAGTTGATTTCCGGAGCCAGTGCCACGTCGCCCGAGTATTCGAAGAATGTCCTCACTGACGATACTCAGCATAAGATCATCAAACAGGTCGGTCTTTTCTGGTTTTTATGCTATTGTTGGTTCTGGGTTATGTTTGTTTATTTAGATGAAATTTCAAGAATTTTGTTTAGGGTTTTTGCTATAACTATCCTTTTCCCGCTAATTGGTGATGAAAATTGTATGATAAACTCAATTTATTCTTGTAAATTATCTGTCTTGGAGATTTGTTGTTTGTTTACTCTATTCTGTGATAGTTTCTATTCCAAATTAATATTTTTAATGGGTTGTAGTCCTATTTTAGGATACCATAACATCCTTTTAGTTCTATGCTTGTTCTCTCTCTTTCACACATTAAATAAATAATGCCATGAATTTGAGCTTCTTTAATAATGCTAATGTGACAATGTCCATGACAAGTTTACTCTTTTCTTCAATTTATGAATTGTGAGTGAAACTGTGAGAGTTGTTTTTAGATGCGTCTAATTTCTGAGGGAAAAAAAACAAAGAAAGAGACTCTGTTTACTGGATTAGCCAATGTTATACATGTATTTTGCTTTTTTTTTTTTTTTTTTTTTTTTTTTTTGAAGGGTTGTATTTTGCTTATTGGTTATGAGATCCCTTGCATATTCCCCATCCCACAGCGATTCCGCCATTTTAATTTCAAGAAGATGGTTCGATGTGCGTGTGTGTGTGTGTGCATGCACACAACACTAATCAATATGAAGTTTGGTTGATGGCGTTGCAGACAATAAAAAGTCTAGAAGACTGCTTTCTTCCAACTTGATGCAATTCAAGAATTACATCTCTGTTGTTGGTCCTTTGAAGATTTGTCTGGAATAATAAAATGTGCAATAATATCATGTAATATTTTTAACTCGTGCAATAATATCATGGGTACTGGAAACTGTCATCCCATGTGGCATACCCATTTCTGAGGAGTCCTGTTTCTGAATCTAATGTGAGACCTTTTAAAATGCTGAAGAAACCTGTCTCATTTACAACTATGAATGGTTTTAATTACTAAGCAAATGTAATGTTCTCTTATTGAAGACCTTTTCTTAGGATTTCAACTGAAGGATTTTACAGCATTTATATTCCTTTATGGTTTTCAACATTTCTTGCCACTGCTCTTATCGTCTCAAAAAACTTTGTTGTCATATTCTCTTCTACAGTTTCCCATTTAGGACCCAGACACACATTTTGGTGATGTTTCTCTTCAATTATTTCACGTTGTCTCCCCTTCCTGCTGTCTCCCCTTCCCGCTTATCATATCTTACCTTACCCGGACACATCTTGTGTTCCAGTAACATATCCTTTAAGTTTATTTCAGCTCAAGAGTCTTAGAATAACAAAACCCTTTGCCGAAACTACGACAAGCAAAGCGTATATGTTAGATTAAATCTGGGTTCCTATTTTATTATCATAACATTTTTAAGCTACTTGGGTAATTACTTTGAATTATACTAAGTTTATTTTTTGGGCACTTTTGAATATAAAGAGGTTTTTTTTGTAACAGGTCGAATACCAGTTCAGTGACATGAGCTTGCTTGCAAATGAGTCCTTGTCAAAACACATTAGTAAGGACCATGATGGCTATGGTGAGTATATGAAAGATTATCATGTGGAGCCTGTAGCATCTTTTATTGGAGTGGTGAATTTGAATAACTTTTCATTTATGAATGTTGTGCTGTGACAGTTCCAATATCTTTTATTGCATCTACAAAGAAAATCAAGTCATTAGTTACTAATAGCCAAATGCTTTCCCAAGCTCTCCGTTCCTCTTCAAAGCTTGTAAGTTATTCGATTTATACTTTAGCGTTTATTAGATACAAAGATGGCCGGGGAGAGGGAAGTGTGTGGTTTATATTTCTTCAGTATATTATATTTTTATAGTCTTATTCATGGCATAAAGGTTGTAAGTGATGATGGCAAAAAGGTTAGGCGTAAACACCCTTTTTCTGAGAAAGACAAAGAGGAATTGCAGGTTAGACTGTTTCTTACCCCTTTGGTGATCCAAACTGCTGCTTAAATCATTTTGGTGTGATTTATATAGTCTTTGTCCTCTCCCTTGCAGTCACGCACTGTTGTGGCAGAGAATTTACCTGAAGATCATTCTCATCAAAACCTTGAGAAAATATTTAGTGTTGTTGGAAGGTTAGATTTTTCCCCGGTTACTAATTATTTCTTCTCCCGTCTTGCACGCTAAGAAGATGTTAGGTGCATATTAATGAAAAATCTCTTGGCTGAACAGAGTGAAAACCATCCGAATATGCCATCCCCAAGAATCTAACTCTTCCCGTTCCAAAAGCGATTTTGTCATCAGTAACAAGGTATTGTTGATATAGAAGTTTTTCTTTTTAACATTTTGGTTTTCTTACTTACTCTTTTTCTTTTGTTTTTGAAGCTCCATGCACTGGTGGAGTACGAGAATAGCGAGATAGCTGAGGATGCAGTATGTTAACACTTGCTGAACCATAAACCTTAAACTCCTCTGCTATTATTTATTTATTTCCTCATCTTGTAACTCTACTGAGAGCTTTCCAACTTCACCAGGTTGAGAAGTTAAATGATGAAAGGAACTGGAGGAAAGGCCTCCGTGTAAGGTTGCTCCTTAGGCGCTCGGTATGTTCAACTAGAATGAAATCTTACTATATTTCCATAACTTCTGTCCTCCATGGTTCTGCTTGCCTGACAATTTTATTTATTTATTTTTAAAATTTGGTGAAAATGTACAGCCAAAGTCTGTTTTAAAGAGCAGGAAGTTCGATTTTGATGGGATTTTCGATGATGATGATGCACCACTACATGATTCAACAGAAGAGTCCTCCCAGTCTCGTAATGTGGAATTGGTAGTTCAGAGTATTGTAAGTGTTCTTGCTAGTACAATTTGTCATATTGTCTAACCTTAGTTACTAGATTCTTGTCTGATACTATTAGTTAGGTATATTGTTGAATAAAATTGTTCAAAGAAGATACTATAATCCCTACAATGAAGGCAAGCTTTTTTGTTTTTTCCTGTTTAGGAGTTGTCTTTTGCAATATAGGTTCATTATAAATACCCGCCTCATCTCATATCATGCATCCTTCCATATAACCAACCATCAGCCTCAAACAATAGCAATGGCGTAAAGTAAATTAAAATGAAACAGGCCTTAGATGTCGGGAGGAACACATTTCATATTCTTTTGTCAACACATTTGTAGGGTGAAGAAAATCCAGTCGGATTGAAGAAAGGATGGGGTCGTGGCCGTGGGAAGTCTAAACCACGCACTCAGATTCACAATGGTCGCGGCCTGCTTGCCCCATCTCCACAATCGAGCAGCTCCATTCAGTTTGAAGCTTTTTCCAAACAGACTACAAAGGGGCCGAGAATGCCAGATGGAACAAGGGGTTTCACCATGGGACGAGGGAAGCCGATGCCCCCTGTGCTAGCAACTTCACCTTAAAGGGTGATGAGTGGACAAGTGGTGCTCTATTTTGTTTCCAACCATTAGTTGCAGAATATAGCTTTACATTAAGCAAGAATTAGTTCTTTAGCCAATAATTGTATGGTGGTTAGCACATCTATTGGCGATCTAGCAATCTTATCAATAATTCGGGATATATATGTAAATCAGTGCTAGTGACAGTGGTGATTACTGTTTGATCACAACTTCTTATATCTCAGTATGTGGCTCTGAGATGGATTCAGTTTATAGTAGTTGTTGTGCAATTTTATTTGATTGTCTCAATAATGGATTGTTGTATAAGCTCTCTCTCTCTGCTCTGCTCAATTTAAGTCTCTCAAAAAGTTTTGGTCACACCTACATTGTGTAAGATAATAAAGATGCATATTTTGATAAGGGATTATGATTCCAAATAAGCGGATGTTGTGTTTGGAAGTTCCGAATTGATGTTTTGAATTTGGGATGGAAGAAATTTAGTTTAATGTTTTAATTAAATTTCCTCCGAGCCGCCAATTCGATACTCCTAAACATAGCATGAGTTGTTTTCAATTGGGTTGGCTATAAACATAGCCGGTCAGGAATCTATTATGCCTAACGAGGGCAATTGTCTCCACTGATTTTTTTTTAAGTATTATACCTTAATATTTTTAGAATTTTGATATATATGCCTATAAAATTATACTAAGCCCCTCCTGAAATTAGTAAATATAAAGCTTACACTTAAATTGAAAGTTTGAATTTCGAAATTAAGTAAGATTTTGAGTTTTGACTCAAATTAGGTCACATATAGCCGGGCACAGATCTATTATGCGCCTTGAATTTTGAAATTAAGTAAGATTTTGATTTTTGACTCAAATTAGTTCACATATAGCCGGACACGGATCTATTATGCACCCAATCGGAGCAATTGTCCTCACTGGATTTTTTTTTTTAGTATTATATCCTAATATTTTTAGAGTATAAAAGTGACAAAATTTAAATCATACAAAGTGGGAGCAGGCACGGATATGTGAAGGGCTCAGTGGGAGCATCCGCCCCCATTGAAATTTTTTATTATTGCATCTTACACCCTTAAATTTATATTTTTTTGCATTTATACTCATAAAATTTTGAAATTGCCCCCATTGAAATTATGAAAAAAACCCATCTATATAAAATTGCCTAATGAGGGCAATTGTCCCCATTGATTTTTTTTTTTAAAAGTATTATACCTTAATATTTTTAGAATTTGATATATATGCCTATAAAATTATACTATGCCCCTCTTGAAATTAGTAAATATAAAGCTTACACTTAAATTGAAAGTTTGAATTTCGAAATTAAGTAAGATTTTGAGTTTTAACTCAAATTAGGTCACATATAGCCGGGCACAGATTTATTATGCACCTTGAATTTTGAAATTAAGTAAAATTTTGATTTTTGACTCAAATTAGTTCACATATAGCCGAGCACGGATCTATTATGCACCCAATCGGAGCAATTGTCCCCACTTGATTTTTTTTTTAGTATTATACCCTAATATTTTTAGGGTATGAAAGTGACAATTTAAATCATACAAAGTGGGAGCAGGCACGGATATGTGAAGGGCTCAGTGGGGGCCCCACTGAAATTTTTTATTATTGCATCTTTTTTTTTTGGGTAAGTTTTATTATTGCATCTTACACCCCTAAATTTATATTTTTTTGCATTTATACTTATAAAATTTTGAAATTGCCCCCATTGAAATTATGAAAAAACCCATCTATAAATCCCCCCCCCATATGAATTCCTAGATTTGTTCTTGAGTGGGAGTGAGACCAGAGCGCGCGGAGCAATACCTGTTTGAAAGAATTCACTTAGAGGATTTAAATTTGAGACCTTATATTTTATGAGGCACCACAACTAAGTTCTTATCCAGTTAAGGCAACATCTTGGAATTAACCAATAAAATAAAAATAAAAGGAGGAGGAGGAGGAGGTGAGTTGAGGCATGTATGGATAGAATTATCGCTCATTGTTTTCTCCATTTATTCTCTGCTGCATTATGTTTATAAAATAAGTTGTTTCCGTTTATGTGAATTGAAAACCGTGTTTCGTATAACCTATAAATACCTATTGTTTTCGCTTAACATCAATAGGCCCATTAGCTCAGTTGGTTAGAGCGTCGTGCTAATAACGCGAAGGTCGCAGGTTCGAAACCTGCATGGGCCATTTTTAAAAACTTTCCATTCTCTGGACATGTATTTTTGCTCTAATTTTTACATAGTTTAATAAAAAGTTTATTTGTTTGCATAGTAATTAAATCTACTGGACATTGCAGGTGTTATGGCTTTTGACAAATGACAAAGATAATTAGAACACTTCTGGTTCATTGATTACTCTATAGGATCCATTGATTATGCTTAATTTGTTCTGTAGTTACTTTTTAAAGTAAGTTTGATTCTTCAAGAACTTATTCAACTCTTTTACCTAGAACTTATTCAACTCTTTTATTTACCAAAAAATAAAAATAATAATAAAAAATAAAAATAAAAATGGACTTGTTCATCTCCTAGTTCATTTTCATGGCAGAGTCTTGCAGGCTATGATATGGTCCCAATTAAATGCTGTTTGGAATATAGAAAATTACATCTCCCACTTCGTTTTCATGGCAGACTCTTGCAGGCTATGATATGGTCATAAATACTGTTTGGATGGTGATGGGAAGGCTAAGAAATAATTACAAAGCATACCTCACCTTCTCACAAAAGGAAAACTTCAATAAATATCAGTGAAACAAGAAAATTAAAATTAAAAAAATCAACTTGATAAGGCCACAAACTTACAACTACAAAATTACATCCTTTTAGCAATTACTTGTTTGTATCATGTAAATATTTTCATCTCCATCTGGAGAGAGACCTGTTTGGGTTGGCTCATTCCTTCCTCATAATTTGATAATCCATTTTGTGTTTGATCTTTACTAGATTCTGCCTCACTAGGGAAAGCAATCAAGATGGATATAGGTCCTACAATGATAGTAGCTTCACTTTGATATTTATATAAATGGATTATCAAATTATAAGGAAGGAATGAGCCAACCCAAACAGGTCTCTCTCCAGATGGAGATGAAAATATTTACATGATTCAAACAAGTAATTGCCAAAAGGATGTAATTTTGTAGTTGTAAGTTTGTGGCCTTATCAAGGAATTATAGAGTGTTCTAAGAGATCCGACATCACCATTATTAGAAATATATATATATATATATATATTTCTAATAATGGTGATGTCGGATCTCTTAGAACACTCTATAATTCTCCACAGAACACATGTAGTCTCACTGTCCTACATGTAAGGGCCTATTACCGGGAAAATTCCCTAGAGTAGCTCCAAAGAAATTTGAACTTTCAACCTTTGGAATGTGAAATGAGAATATTTGTCATTAACCTATCCTCTTAGAATTCCATCACTTGATATATATATCATATATAGTTATGTGCTGTTTAGAGTGGCATAAAATCCTTGCAGCTTCTGTTGTAATTACCAATTGTATCTTTCAAATCATCATTTTAATCAGGTTTTATGCAACATAAATGTCTTTCCTTAATGACATATGCGGTGCTAAAAGTAATTACACCTTGGAAAAGAAAATGAGGTACAAGTTTGTCTCTTGTTTAATTTTACTTCCACTATTCAGTCATCTTCAACTAAAAAAAATAATCCTTGAGAATGAAAATGAAAAAATAGTTCAAATTTTAATCTAAATATCTTTGAATTCCATTTTCAAAGTTTTAATTCCGTTGTCTCAAACATTACATAAAAATTAATTTTGTTAAATATACGTAGTCTTACCTATGTCTCTGCATTATAGGACATATTTATTGTTTTGTTTGGAGGTCACCAAAAATAAATAAATAAAAATAAACTTGCTACAAATAAAAATAAATGTATTAGAAATAATTTTGCCAAATGGACTCTGCTATGTACGAAATTGCCCAACAAAACAATACCATTAAAAATCTTATACCAGTTTACTCTGTTGTGTACCTTTTCTTCACAAGTGAGATCATTTTAGATTCCCATTTGCTCTTTTCAAATCTCTCACATAGGCCCAAAACTCACCTCCTCAACCTTTATCGTTCTTTTGGGAAATTCACGTCCTCTCCTCCCACTATCATACATTTGTTCTTCTGGTGTTTGGACACCAAGAAAAAGCTCAATCATTTTCTTTGGTAAGCAAGCACTAAGCAGAAAAAGCTCAATCATTTTTTATTTTATTTTTTTCCCACTTTTTCCCAAAGTCTAAAAGTACTCTCTCTCTCTAAAACCTGAAACTTTTTGGCTCTTTGGATCTAAAGTTTGGTTGAAAAAACCCAGCTTTCTGTTTTCATTTTCACCCATTTTCTCTTCTCCTGTTTTTTAGCCATCTTTTCAATCGCAAAACACAAAATCTCTTAAACCCAAGACCTAAAACCCTTCAAGGCCTCTAAAAATTGAATCTTTAACATCGTTGATTGTGTCTCTCTTTCTGGGTATCACTGAAAATGTCTACAGAGCCACAACAGCAACAGCCACCGCCCATGGCGGTGGCCCAACAAGCCTACACGACTCATTCGGGTCACGGGTCAATCGGACCCGTCATCGCGGTCCTCGCAGTGATCACAATCTTGGGTGTGATAGCTTGTATCATCGGTAGGCTGGGTTCGGGTAGACGGATCATGGGTCATGGGCAGTACGACTTCGAAGGTTGGCTTGAGAGGAAATGCGCTACTTGTCTAGACGGCCGGGTCGACCCTCCGGTGCTGCGTGCGCCGCCGCCGGAAAATACTGACGGTGGCGGGGACGGCATCGACGCCGTGCCGGTGGTGGTGGTTCCGGTGGAAACTTTACAGAAAGCAGAGGAAGAGACAACACAACACAACTCCCAAGCCTCGCATCACGCTGATGAGTCTTGAAATTGGTTTTCCATTTTTTTTTTTTTTTTTTAAAAAAAATTATTGGGAGTAATATACACACTCTTTGTACGCGAGATGGGGTATTTCTGGTAATTTATTAGTTTGATGATTATGTGCATTTATATTAGTATTTTTTTATTATTATTATGCTAACTTTCCTTACTAATAAGATTTTTTTTTTTAAAAATCTTATAGCATAATTTTTTTTTTTATTATTGAAGAAATGAGTTTATAGTTTATACTTTTATATTCCTTATCTGTTGTGATGTTTAATTTATATATATTTATATATATTGAAATTCTTTATTATTATCGTCCTTTATCCCAAACCCATCCGGGGTTAAATTGACATCTTTATGCATATAAGACAAGGTCTTTCACATATTGAGTCTAGATAAGAAAATTTCAATAATCTAAAAATATATAATAATACAGTAACCATTATTTATTCGAAACAAGTGAAATGTGCATGTGGAACACTTCATATCGTATTATCACATAAAGAGACAATTTATCCTACAAATGGAATATTTTAAAAATAATGTAGAATTCCATAAATCTCACACCTAGAATGTAAAAAAACATATATTACCCATCGTGTGAACGCAATTCTATTAATGACCAAACTTTGTGTTGATTGGACCCTAATACTTTATTCTTTATCACAATTGTTTTTTACTTGATTATAAATGGTCCCCTTCATGCGATTTGTTTTTGTGTTTTATACTACATAACTTTGCTTAAGTAGATTGAAACCTACGGTTTTTAATGGGAAAATAGAATCCAAAACATTCCTTTGTTGTGGATAAACCTATGAGGTTTGACTTTTGAGACTTGCCACTTTGGACTCTACAAATCCAAAGGCAGGTAAAACCACCATTACATGGTATTTATCTAAGTTTCCAATAAAATGTGTAATAACAATTTTTTTTTTTTTTTTTTTTTTGAGTGTATTTGTAACAATTTTTACTATTCAGACACAATATTGTCATTTTTTCACTCGCTCGAGTTAGAAACTTTTTCGGGAATCACTCATCCTGATACTACTACAGGTTAAACAGGCTTAATTTCGGAGTTCTGGTAGGTTCACAGTCATTACGACCTTAAAACGTATTGTGTCATAGAAGGGTGTTAAATTTACATATAACACTTAACCTATTGGTACCAACCTGCACATGCTCACACACATCCACTCACAAAATCGCCACAATATTAATATGGTATTATGAAGTCATTTTCTTAATTGGGGTGCTTGAATTGAATTATTAGTCAAAATAAGCAATTGTATGCATTAGTTGGTACATGGGAGAACTTGATGTATACTAAATTTATTGGTCCATTATTTAAGGATAATGCTTAATTACTCACTGGTGGGTAGGGTGAAGCTATTCACCCTTATTTGGTCCAATAATAAAATAATTCACACCTAAAACACACAATATACTTTTATTCAATGGTTGATCCGAAAAAGTAAAAAAATGTATGGATTATTTTATTATTAAAGATGATGTGTTATTTTATTATTGAACTATATAGGAACGAATAACTCCATTTTACTCACTGACAAGTAATTAAGTATTCTTCATTATTTAATGTTTAAACTAGCTGAATTTGTATTCTTACACATAAATATTTCATGTAAGTCCATAACTAATTTCTCTAAACCCAAGGTGAATATTCCAATATATATATGTATATATATATATATATATATTTTTTATAAGCAATTTAAAAAATAACACTAATTTTTTAGTTGATGTTGAAGTTGATCTGAATGTATTAACTGATTATTATATTTTTATTAATTTAGTATATGGATGAGATAGCAGAGAGGTTATTATTATTTAAGTAATCTACAAGGTAAGTGTAATTATTTTAATAAAATAAAAATAAAAAAAGTGTGTGGACAAAAATACCCTTGATGCGGGCAGGAATGGGAAGGGCATATCACGTGGGCCGAATGAGAGAGAGGGAGAGAGACAGAGAGATTCGTCTGATCGGAATAAGCATGTGAGTAGACAGCTTTTGTCGGGTAACAGTAACAGTAGCAGCCCCCGAAACTCTCCACCACCACCACCACCACCACCACCACCACCCACAAAAGGACACATGGGTTTTGTACAAACACACGTACTTTTTCTTTATTCTTTTCGGTGGAGTGGGGTAGGGAAGACTTTCCTCTTATTTTGTCTCCTCTCTCTCTCTCTAATATAATATTAATACACACACACAAAGTTACAACATTTTCCCAGTTACTAAACTGAGTTTCTTGATTCTACATAATAATTTGGAAGTAGGAACCGGATTGTCGTAGAGGAACAAGGTATTTTTAACTCACAGTACAATTTGGTTAGAACAGTAGTAGTATATATACTATTTACACTAGTAACTAGTATAGGCTACTAGCTATTACATTGATGCTATTGTTGATTAATTGTCACATGTCATGTGATAAATGTATTCAAATTATTTAGCTAGGCTCAAAAGTGTTCGCACTTTATCTTTTCTTCCTATTTAGGAACAAGAGAAATGGGTAATTCTCATACCTATATCAATTATCAATCAAGATGCAAGAAATCAGTGTGTGCGTGTGTGTGTATGTATCGTGGCATATTTAGTGAGAAAATTGGTCAGAAAGTAGAATTGCATATGAAAAGTTTTAAACTAATTGGATTTTAGTTTAAAGGGAACTCACATTGGTTTACTACTTAATATCAAAACCATCATAGGCCAAACATAAGTACGTATTAAGTTTATACTTATTTACAATAGTGTTGGATGAAATAAACGACAGATTTTAAAAAAACATTTTATGATGTTTGTTATTTGTAGATGACATAATTTTAATAGATACGTCCCAAAAAAACTTTAGCAACAAAGTTAAAAACACGAAGAAAAAACTTTAGAAGTAAAAAGTCTTAAAATTAATAAAGCTAAAACAGTGTTATATGAGATGTAATATTGATTAAGCATATTAAGATAATATAAACATTAAAACCAAGACCAAATAGTTATTCAAAATAACTACTTTTGAATATTTTTGTCATTTAGGTTCAATATATATTACAATAAGTAGAATTGAATTAGGGAGGATAAAATGGAGGAAATCTAGTTGCAGTGATAAACCAATCACAAATGAATAAAAAGAAAAATTTATATGTCAGTTATTAGGTCATCCATGTTTTATGGAACAAAGTATTGGTCGACCCTAGAAAAGAAATAAGAACATACGGCAAATTTATGTAGCGAAAATAAGGATGCTACAAGTAGTAATGATAGGAGTACTTAGAAGAGATAGGATTAGTAATGAATGAACAATGGGTAAGTCGGGAGTAACCCTATTGGTGATAAATTAAATTAGAGAAATTAAGTTTAGGTGTTTTGACGCGTATAGTATAGGGCAAAAGAAGATCCACCGATCAATAGAGAGAGAATTGTTGCCTAGCTAGAAGATGAGTAACAAAGAGAGCGACCAAAACTTATATGGGACAAAGAAATTAAAATTTTAATAATATAGTTACACACGACAAGAAAAATAGTTTAAAGATTCAAGTGTGGAAAACACCCTTATAATATTTATACTTATAGCACGTATTACACTTTTCAAGTGCAAAAGACATCTCTAAAGTTTTAATTTGACTAAATTGCCCTTCTATACACATTATGCATCATTTTATGAAATGATAAAAATCATTTAATATATGAGGGGTATGATACGCACAGTAAGCATATTATAGGGGTGTTTCCTGCACTTTATAAACTATTATTGTTTTGAATTTTTTATCTCAACGATTAAATTTAATCGAGAAAGTAGTTTTATCATGACTTGAATAGTATGATGACGGTAGGTGATTGAACACTCATTTGTTTATTTTTTTTCCAATAAAGATTAAATACCCATTTGTTACTATGTAAAGAATTATATATATATATATATATTTGTGAAAATTTATTGCAAATTCTAAAGTTTAAAAAATTAAATGTATATTCTTTATATATAATGAATAAGTATTTTTAATTTAATTTTTTAAATATATATTTAATGAAAACCGATAACTATATCAAAATTAAATTCAGAATAAATATTTTCTTTTTTATAATTATAAAATGAACTGAAGTTTTCATACATTAATCTGACAATTGTGACAACAAATCTTTTTTTTTTAAGAAAGATAATACACTGTCGGCGAAAATGTATAGAGAGATTTTTTTTTTTTTTTTTTCCGAAAAGGTGAGAGAAAATTCTAAAAAGTGGGTTAAATATAGTTAATATGCATATAACACCCATATACTTGAGATTATTCGCATACACACCCCCTTGGGTATTTTTGGAAGTGTAAAATGGCAAAACGAGTATTAAAGAATTACTTTATGTCAGATTTCTGATTGAGAAGTGTTTTCGCACAATTTTACAAGAATATGGGTGTTTTTAACATACTTTTTTAAATAGGGTGAAAATACCACGCAAAATATATATTATGAATGTTTTCTACACTTGACCCTAGTTTAAAACTAGAAAGAAAAAATAAATAAAACATATTTTAAAATAAGAAAAAATAGAAGAAAAAAAATTTATGTGGCTGACTGGCAAAGAAGATGTCGGTGATTATGACTATTGACTACTATTTTGAAATTTCAATTATAGTTTTTAAATTTTTTTTTATTTCATGGTTTTAAAGGAAACAGAAAAGGATGAAGAAAATGAATTTTTTTATATTCTTTTTGCAGGTAGGCCAAAGAGAACTGTGGGCTTAAACGGGTTAATATCGCATGCGCAAGAAGGCCTTTCCACTGGGCTCTTCAATGATTTGCCGATTCCAAAGATCCAAGTGGGCCAGATCTTCTTCATCAAGAACCCAGAATTTTTATAATCAGGGCATGATTGATCTCTCAAAGCCTCGAACCATATCTTTGAAGTTGGGCCTTTTTCAGTTATTTATATTATTTTGGTCTGGTTGGCCTCCTTATTACTTTATACCTTATATCTAGTTCAAAAGTTAGATGTATTGAGAACTATTTTATATGAGTGGGAATAATATTATCATGACATTATTATATATAATGAAGTCATCATAACGTCATCGCTTACTCACATAATTTTAATCAGATATATCCGAC